CACAAAAGTTAACTGATGACTCAAAAGAATCAACTGAAACCCATTTGACTGTTTAATCTGCATATTATAACTCCTGTATTGCCTCCCATTTGGGGGATTCTAAGAATGTTTTATTAAGTCAATAATGACCAGTGTGAGGTATCCTCGAAATATTTTGTACCTTTGGTGAAGTTTGTTTGCCCAGTAGGAACTGCAATATTATTTTTCCTTCGAAAGGTATTATGCTTGCTTTATTTGGAGTGGGTAGACATAGTTCTATAATCTTGTTTCAAGAGTCTTAGTATTTATAATACCCCTAACACTTAGGCAGTATGTCACTATCAGTCTGTAGATAAGGAAGAGTTTATGTTGTCTATCCAAGTATCTGTTTTTCCCCTTCCTTAAACACTTATTAAGTTTCCATACTTCATATCAAGGGATTTTATTTTTTTAAATAAGAATTCCAAATGACTTCTTCTACAGAACTCCCTCAAGGGAAAGTTGCTGAAATTCTCCACAGAACTCCTTCACAATTAGTCTTCTCCTGCCTATGCCTGTCACAGTATGCTCTCTTGAAAGTACTCTGCTTTTCCTTTCTCTATTTCAGAGCCTGAGAAACAAGATAGCATCAAGTCAGCCTATGATGATTTTAATTTTGGGGCATGTAAGGTAAAGAGGAGGGTGGCGGGTAGACAGACTAACACTTCTAATAATTCCCCATTATGTAACTAGTCTTCCCTCATCTTGTTTTCTCTGCAGTACCAAGTAAAATGATACCCAGAAATAAAGATTCATTACATGCATAAATCTCTCAAGCAGGCTCATTCCCTTGTCCAGTTCTGCTACCTTCTGCTCTTACAAAGCCAGACGAAACTGCAGTCTGGGGAGGGGTGCACTTTTATAATGACAATATAAAATTCACTACAGCCTTTTTGTGATACGTATCAAGATGATGGCAGTTTTGTGGACAAGATAATCGGTCTTTCTTCTGCTCTTTCTCTTTGGTAATGAGTTAATTTAATTGTTGAAGCAACTTCATAATGGGAAGCACTGGGACGAACCAAGTTTCACCCTGTTACAAAAGGAGCAAAACTGCTCAAAACAAGACTGGTCTCCTTGAGATGACATATGGAAAGAAAAAAAAATGGAAAAAAAAAAAAAACAAACTCAAAAACTTGCCTTTTGAAAACAGGAAAATCTGACTTTACTGACCTGTCAATGTCATATAGGTTTTGCAGTTAAGGCACTGCTGCATCGAGAAAGCTGACTGAGCTTCTTGCTGTTTCGAGCTTGTTACAAGGTATAAAAAGTGACAAAACATACCAGCATTTGATGCATGCGCTCATATTTAACAGAGACCATGTTTGGTTAACAGTTCTTGCATAAAGCTTTTACAATCACTACATTAAAATATGTTCTACTAATCAATGAAAAAAAACAAAGATTAATTCTTCAGATTCATTTTATTATCAATTGTGAATATAAACCTCTTATGAAAATATTCTTAAGATTTCAAGACATAAGAATTGTCTATAAAAATATACTACTACATAACAAAGCCAGTAACTTCTACAAAATGTATCATTCAACATATGTTCAACAATATAAGAGACATAATAAAAATCCTTTATTTAATGCTGAGGGTATTTTTACCCCATTTTTGTCCAAACAATAGCTCACATAACATATGAAATTACTCATTCTGATACGCAGAAGTGTTATCACCAACAATTTACAGAAGTCTGTGTATGTTCTGCCCCAAAGTTACCTGCATCTGCAGGAATATGATGTCACAACATTCTCTTGGATAGGCAGTTACAGCCAGAAAAACATTCCCTTGGTAACTGCAATGTCCTGCTG